AACAGAAAACAAAAATGACACAAAAATGGAATTATATGGTTTAGACTGTGTGGATTTAGTGGTCTCATATACAATTTTTTTCGTCACCAAGAAAGTGCAAATTCTCAAAAAAAAAGAGAAAAAGAAATCACCCATATTTTTCCCCCTGCAGCTATCAACAGATATGGACCGACAGACTGCAATGCTGAAAAAAATAAAACATACTTTGTGATGAGAAAGGGATTATTTAAAAAGTAAATCCACACTGAATCACGTCAGAGAAAACGGCTGCTGTTGAAAAGCTGGATGATGTTTTACTTTTGCCAAGCTCGTGCCAATTAGTGAATTCACCGCAGGTATTCTGCTCTTTGATGCACTGGTCAGGATACACTGAGAGGGAGGTGGTCAGATGTCCAGCAGAGCAACGGTTTCTGCTTCATGTGACTCTGTGTGCATTTACAATTGAACTTTCAGATATGAGGACTGGGACGTATTCCACCATTTTCAAATGTACATCAGGAAAAAAAACCTCTGTAAAGAATTATCATAATCATCACAGTTACAAATCAATCTATTATAAATAGTAGCCTATTTCTGTCTCTCCCAAGTTAAACCATTTACTGAACTATAGATTTATTGTATGTTTATTATGATCAATATTATTCTTTCCACTCTACTGCAACAATCTTGATTTGAATTAGATGTCAAGGCCAAAAAACTAATTGTCTGCTCTGATTTGCAAAAGTCCATGATTTGGCCATTTAGTCCATTTCATGTAAGTTCCACATGGATACCAGATCCAGCCTTTAACTGCACAGAGAGGGCGTTATTGCAGACAAAGAGATTCTGCAGTGGATACAACACTGCATGTTTAACATTCAGCACAGCTAGCCTTCTCAGAAAGCTTTGCAACTCTTATACAGGTTTCTTTTCAAGAAAAGGAGTCTCCCAAATGAGCTCGAATGACCTTTACCCCCCCCCAACAAGATCTGAGATAGTAAGCAGAGAGCAGGTATGGGGGGGAGATTCATCGCCCCCCCCCCACCACACTACCATTGTGTGACTATGCAACAGCTGCATATGGTGGTCGAACAGAGATGTGTTTGTTTATGTTCAGATGAGGTGGTAGCTCAAACCACCTTCGATCCAGATAGCAAATATTCAAGTTTTTTTCTTTTTTTCTTTTCCATAATCATATTATTTTTTTGCATTTAAATAATCATCTGCACTGAGAAGACAAAACAAACAAACAAATAAACAACAGGATCAACAACATAATAACAATAGTGATAATCTTAAAATAAAAGCACACAAAATTCAGGATGGCCTTTCGCAAAGTGCTTTTTGTTACAATCGCAGAAGCTGAAAAAGGCAGTTGGATAGCAGTACGCCAGGGGCCTTTCGAACTGTCCGTCAGTCTCTTAGCAGTGGGATAGTGAGCGCAGACAGACGGACTGAAACAGCCGACTGTCAAAATGTCGTCTCCAGCTCTCATCTGTTACACCTGCCTGAAGTTATGGAATGTATCTTAAAAATTGGATTTAGGTGACTGAAAACTGAAACTGCAAGTGTTCCTCCAGACCTTATCCAGTCCCCTTCCTCTCCCGCTGATTCCCCTGCTGAGGGTGTGCGATCTTTGATTGAAGGCCAGTCGGCAGCAGAGATGGAGACTCCGAGTCCACAGAGAGGAGGAGCGATGGGAGAAGAAAGTGAGAAAACATACAGCGCTCCGCAACTGTGCTTTTCCAAATCCAACTCCTTTCAGAAAAAACGTTACGGCCTGACTTTTAAGACTGAATCTCCAGAAGCTTCTTTCTTCCAACAAACCCCTGGATCAATATTACATGTATATGTGTGTGTGTGTGTGTGTATGTATGTATGTGTGTGTGTATATATATATATATATATATATATATATATGTGTATGTTTGTGTGTGTGTACATGTATACATCTAACTTTTAACAATGAGGGAAGTGTTCCTGTGTTAATCTTCCTGGGATGGATCATGTTAAATATTGGTATGAAGAAGAAAGGCAAAGACGGAGAGGATTGATGAGACACAACCACAAACTGAGCGGAGATTGAAACCGATGCATAGCAGTGTATTTTCCACCTGAGAAGAACTTACATAGAGACAAAAGAGATCAGCAACATTCTCCTTGTTGCAGTTCTCCAATGTGGTGACCTATTATAATTCACATCACACTGTGGCCATACAATTCCTACCAGCTTAGAGGAGCGACGCTGAACCATAGCTCAACAAATAGTCAATCACCTGGGCTTTCTAACCTCATCCCTGAAAACAACATCCAGCCTTCCCCTACCACCCGTATTTAATCCTCCTCCTCCCCGTACACCAGACCTCTGAATCCCTCCAGACTGAGAGAGACTCCAAGTGCAAACTGTCCCCACTTGGCTGAGAGCAGCCAACAGACAGCAGCCAGCCTCTGAAGGACCCAGGGCTGTCTGTGTAAGTGCCAGAGCCACGCTGCGCATGGTGCCGTACTGCATATGCTGCACTCAGCTTGGTGTGCATGGAGAGCCTGATGGAAAACACAGAGAAATCAGGTGTTGCGGCAGAGTGACGAAGCAAAGCCAACAAGTCCCACTTCTGCCGTCATCGCAGCTCGCTGTAATAACAGTCATCCCGTCCTGCTTCTGTTTGATTATTTACAGTTATCATTGTTATCACATCATTGTTGGTCGTCTTTGTTTTATGGCCTTCTCAGATAGATTCACCAAAAGTCTTTGATAGCAACAAAGGAAAAACAAAAACATGAAGGTCAAATTGAAAACACCTCTGAGACTGTCTCGGCATAGCCTCTGTCAGTGACCTTGGTCTGGGGCTGAGGCTGGGGACGCACCAGTTCTGGAGCCATATGTGCTGATGGAGACCCAGCTCTGATCTATCGGCTAGGACTTTGTTATTAATAAATTCAAATTTAAACAACAAAATTATCAATTTCAAAACCAATCAAATCAGCTTTTAAACTTTTGGTCTTAAGATATGGACAGAAAAAAAAGATGAAAGAAAAGGAGAAGGTGTGAGTTTTATCGGTCCCTGCCCACTTAAGGCACACTGAGGCTCATGTTGTCACATAGTTAACCTGGTGGGAGTGAGCCTCAGCCCCACACTGCACAATATCACTGTGTGGAATAAGAAAAAAAAAAGAAGCTTAGTGCTGCTCAGGCAAGGCCACAAATACCCAGTCTGCTTCAATTAGAGAACATTAGACTTCAATTCAACCTTTTCAAAAAGTGAAACTAAAATCATCCATTTTAGTGATGATCAAATTAACAGTGTTTAACAAAAGTTTTAATCATAATTTTATCATTTCACTGAACATAAAACAAATAAAAATCCCATCTCTAAAGTTGAACACAAGTTGGAATCAATATTGCCCCACACGCTACATCTCAGCCATCAGATCAGGAGAAACTCAAATGTCTTGAATGTTTTCAAAAGGCTTTGCTACTGTTTAAGTGCCTAAACGTTATATATTTGGAATATATTTAAATACAAAGAGCAAATATGATTTGCTGCTTTCCCACCATTTCTATTTTCCATCAAAAGCTACATCCAGAATCTCTTTTCAAGAGACTTCAGGTTCAACAATAAAACTTTTAATCCAACATTAGATTTGTAGCTTTAAAATGTCCAATGACTTGAATGCAAGCCATTTTTTTCCTTTGGTATTTGTAGTTGTTGGACGTCTGTGTACTTCTTTAATATACTGTACATGATTATTTCTATGGAGGGGGTTGGATGGACTTTTTATGAGACCATTGAGTGAGTTCACCACGCAGCTCCGTGCTCATGGAAACTCGCAGGCCTCTCTGAGGTCTCCTGCCCTTCTCCCATAAGCAGGATAAGGACATTTAACATTAGTGCAAACTTTTGCTCTCCCAGCTAAAGCACCATTTCCAGTGCTATCAGGCTTTATATCCATAACCCCACCCATGCACCCATTTACCCCACCCTCCTGGCACAGCAACAAAAAACCTCTTCCCACCCCCCATACACACACTCACACACTCAAACACATACGCCCACTCACTTACACACACAGCCATGTAAAATTGTTAGAAAAAAAACAGCTGTAGCACGACACGTTACTTTAAGAAAAAACAAGTGTAGACAGAAAAAAAACTATACATCCTTAAACCTCTGATTCTATGTCCACATACAAAGAGCGAGAGAAAGTGAACTCAAGTAAATGTCTGCGTGATTCCGCACAACTCTCTGCATATGCATTCAAGGAGAGGGCATCTGTGTGTGGCTTAGTCAGGGAGGCCCAGTCTGAATAAATTATAGACATACTTTCAATATTTCTAGTCTATAGAGACTAAGATCGAGGGCAAAAAGCTTTGGTTAATCAACAAACAACATAAGACATTTGGGGGAAATATGAAAGTCCAACAGAACATGTGTTTAAGATGGCTCACAGGTCTTAACAGGTAAAAAAAATCTGCCACATCAAATGGTTTTAAGGAGTGCATGGCGAGTACCACTATACATGAAGACCACAAAGCAGGTCGATATACCCAGGTTGCATTGGTCTGCCTGTGGGAGCCAAACTGTGCAATAATAAACCCTGTCTTTGTCATAACAGAGAAGCAAAAATAGAAACTCAAACTGCGAAGTCCTCGCCAACCCCTGACAATGACCAACAAGAGTAAACGAAGAGTTGTGCAAATGTGCACCGAGAGAGCTGTGAAGTAAACAAGCAACACTGTCCAATGAGTTGTTTTACAATATGGTATTTTTTTGCTTGTGTGGTACCGTGGACCTATTATCACTGTGGTTCCTCGGAGAACATGTGTAGTTATGAGAGGAGCTGGTGAACAGATGGGGTAGACACGAAGTTTGTTTATCCAAGCTTGTCCTGAGACCCTCCAGCCTGCCAGCCAGCATTGCATGCTTGTGCACATACGCACACACACACACACACACACACACACACACACACACACACTCTCTCACTCACACACACGCGCGCACACACACTCTCTATCTCTCACACACACACACACGCAGCGTACACTTTCTTTTTCGTCTGTCTCCTCCTTCCATCCCCCTTTCTTAACATTAAGACATAAACACCACTCACTAGATTTCTTTTTGACAACTAACTTCAAGTGCAATCAGTCACATGGGTTAATTTAGTAATTTTTTAAGTCACAATACTCAACATTTTTGTAGCTGAAACCTGTCTGGCTTCTCTTTCTGAGATCTGATTTAGCATAATTAAGGTTTAATTTTTTTATTTTTCTTGGCAGCTTGTCATCAAAAACTGAAAAGAACCGGCGAAGGAGCTCGACTTCAACCCCATGGACAGAAGAAAGGACTTATCTCATTTGCAACTGGTTTGTTTCTGAAGTACCCGTTTTGTTGACAAAAGTGCCCTCCTCAGTAACAAAGTGCATTCATGACCTGCCTCTTTCCAATTAAGGTGCAAAAGGGGACTGGTAGTTGAACTACAGCACGACTATGTAAGTTCTAGGGGGAGGCTCAAAAACCCACATGCATGTTCTCCAAAGGCTCAGTGTGTTGGCTTGGGAAATAACGTTGGGCTTGGAGAACAAAAACGCAGCTAGAGATTTTAAAATGGACAAATCCAGAGTCACTGACAATATCTAACAGATATGTCAGCTCTGGTGCTTTCCCCTTCTCTGCAGGATACCTGCACTCAGCAAGTGTGTGTGTGAGGCAGAGAAAGTGCATTGGGGCTGGCAGCTCAGGGTGCATGTTTGAACAGGCTGTGGCTGACTCACACAGTGATGATGTGGCCAGAGGGACCCTGGCTGCCACGCACACACACACATGCACACAAACACACGTACATGTAAACACCATCGCACACTAAACTGCCAGCACCAGGCGTCCTACCCACAGCAACACCAGACTCTAATATAATAATATCCCCTCCAGGCTGGTTCGGGGGCATTAGAGGACTACAGAGGGAGAGCGAGGGAGAGAAAAGGCCTGATTTGATCCCCTCCTGCCTGGAAACGTGGCTGAGCTGGGGGAGATTATTTTTTGGAATGCAACAGACATTGTGAGATCCCCCTCCCCTTCCCTTGTTCCCCTCCCCCCATCAACCAGCTGCAGCTGCGCTCCTATTTGGCCTCCCAACTTGGACAGGTATTTATTGCTCTCTTCATCATACAGGTTGCCTCACGGTTGTGTGGTCCCTCGGGCAAAAGAATTGGAATAAGCATGATACATAAACCTGCTCTCGCTCCTTCCCTGACACCAGCCCACTTCCTTTAAATATACCCCTCTCTCTCTCTCTCTCTCTCTCTCTCTCTCTCACTCGGTTGGATATCTTTAGTAAAGCTGTGCAAACATAGAAAAAAAAAAAAAGGTGCTCATCTATTTCTTCTTCTTCGTATTCTTTGTCACTCTCTCACTTGGGCTCCCTGCCATTTCTTTTAACCTGCGGTTGGTTAAATGCTACCCGCGCCTTGTCACACAAGGACAGATTCCGAAAAACTGCAGTTAACACATTCATTCGTTCGACCTCCTCATCCTTTGGGCAGGAACTATACATGTCAAGTGATTAGGACAAATAGGTGACTTATGTTTTGTTTTGTTTCATCAAACATTCATACAGTTTTTTTTTTCGTTCACCCGCAAGCTTCACTCTTTGAGAAATATGACATCAAGCCTAAGAGGAAAAAACCCGATCGGTAAGTACACCTCAGCATTAAGAAGGGACCAATGTCATATTTACCACCTGCTGTATATACATGTATACAATTATAAAGTGTCAAGTACCCGAAGCAGTCAACAAAAAGGAACAACGACAAAAAAAATTAAGACAAAATCAAAAGGGAAAACAGAAATGCTGAAATTGCAGAATTGTGAGGAATAAGAGGCCATGTAGTCAAGCCAACAGACACATTGACGATGGTAGTGCTTTAAAAACACAATCCCTCCACCCCTCATTTTCCCTAGTCCTGCAATTGATGAGCCCCCATTAACGTGGATTCGACTCAAGGTGAATTTGTTTTTCAATAAGACAAACCTTAGATTCTTAAAATGCATTTCATAGAGTAAGTAACACTTCAATCAAACCCTCGTCTGATTCTTTCTGGAACATTTAGAGAGAGAAAACTGTTGCATCAAAACTGTGGTGAGTTTTCCTTGCATATGCCATATTGTGGCAATGTTGTTTCTATGGTAACTGTACATTTCAGACCTGCAAAAGAATAGAAAAAGAGTTGTTTTCACCGGGAGGATTTGTCCTCGCTTCACCCGTACAGCAGCCAGAAGGTGCTTGACAGACACCTTGCTTAGAGCTTGAAGGCTGTGAGGACAAAACCAATAAAAATCTAAATCAACTGCATAGTTGTTCAGAGTTTCTTCGTATCTATTATACATTTGCCTAAGCCCATATGCCAATGTATAAAAACCCTAATATTATAAAGAAGAAAATGGCCCAGAAAGGGGACGTCATGGGTGTATGATGTGAAGCGTTCTTTGCTCTTTAACAGATACACTGACTCAAGTGCTTGCAAGTCTACTCTTTTCTAAAGTAAAAGGAGAAAGAAATATAAAGATTAGATTTTTGTGACACCCTGATTTGGTTTATAGAGGAATAGTTAGTTGTTAAATTGTTTTTTTTAAGTTTGTCTTTGCGTGTTTTTTCTCCTCTGTTCACTGGCCTGTCTCACAGGCAGTGCAGAGTGACTATGGTATCCAGCAGTGTCCTTGATGCTCCAGCAGTCTCAGGGCCCAGCCTCCCCAGCCAACTCCTGCAGCTGAGGACTGTGTGCATGAGCTCCAGCTACCCCCCCCATCTCCGCCGCTGAGGCTGCCTCTGAACGCCGCCGTCCCCTGATGGTAAGAGGTGCAGGCCCTGTGTCTGAGCTGGTGCTCAGCAGACCCAACGGGGACTCAAGATGCCCTGGCTCCCGCATCCGAGGCTTTCGACCTCGACGAGAGGGGATGCCGTTGCAGCCGTCCTTCTTGAGGTGGCGGTGCAGGTGATCGGAGCGCACAAAAGTCTTAAAGCAGCTTGAGCACTGATAGGGACGCAGGCCTGTGTGTACACGCATGTGGTTCTTCAGGTCGTAGTTGTGAGCAAAGGCGGCTCCACATTGCGTACACAGGTAAGGCTTCTCTCCTGTATGCTTCCTCATATGAACCTTGAGCTTGTCCTGCCTGAGAGGGAGAGAAACAAATAAAATAAGAATCACAGAGTTTTTAAAATTTAAATCAACTAGAGGATTGGCTCACATCTAACTGAAATCACTCAGGACACAAAGTTGGCTTCAAGTTCTCATTCTAGTGTAAGCTACTAACCAGGCTCCAAAAATACGTATTTAACTCAATATAGATTATTAATTTTCACATGTACCCATCTCATCTTAAAATACTGTGAGTGGTTTTATTTTCTATATAGATATTTTTCATCCAGTAGATTTCTGCAAGGGCAGCCTGACCAATTAATCTACATCTATACAAATAATACATCCTGATGAGCAATTTAGCTTCATATTAGAAATAATGTCTGTTCATATTAACAGACCTGAAAGTACATATCATAACAATTTACATACACTGAGCACATGTTTGCTGGTGTTAACAGGAAGCAGATTGTCTACTCTACAGTTGGTTACTTAGTTACAGGAAATACTATTAAAAGAGAAATAGCAACGATGCAAAGTAAAAGCAGGGTTTTTTCTTTTTCGATGAGTTGGAACTTTTACTGACAGTAAGCAACATTTTGCATTCACTGCTGGTAGTCATTTCCAAACATCTCAGTTTTTTGCAGGTATATTCTACAATTCTCCTTGGAGATTTCAAAGTAAAAGGTGACTCGCCATGTTTCCAAACTTCTCTGCTTTAGGCATGACAAATTCTACACAGCAGGTGTAAACATTGCAACAATGATGCATTTCAAAACTAGAATAGAAAATTACATTTGACTGTCCTCTACAGCTGAACACAACTTGACACAGCACTGAAATATATAAAGTGGGGTCCAAAGGCCTCCTGACCGCCACTTGAATGTAGTACCTTGTCTGTAACATCTCGTCAGTTTTGCAGCCTAGATGTACCTCCACAAGCCATATTTTGGTTGAATTTTGAATAATACTTTTGTGTCACTTACTTCCCAATAATTTATGAGTTCTACAACAATTACCCAAACACCAAACAATGAATGAGTTGTCTGCTAAACTTTATCAGGCTGCCTTGGTCTTTATCTGACTCTTGTCCCTCCCTCCCCCCCTTTAGCCCTTACTATCTCTCTAGCTCCCGAGCTCTTAAATCGTCTAACCCTTCTGCATCCAGGGCAGAGGGCTTCTAAATAAACAAGCGTGGTTACAACAACTCCATTTGAACATACAAAGACACACAAATACACCGTCCATGTAATTGGATTAGCTGTCATTCAAGCAAGCAAACAAATAAACCCACTGCACCCTTTAAGGTCGAAACGAACTATGTCCCAAATACAGAACTTAACAAAGAAATGTGTATATAGGGAAACACACACACACACGCACGCGCGCGCGCACGCGCACGCACACACACACACACACACACACACACACACACACACACACACACAGAGGCTGGAGCCATGGAACAAAGTGGCACACTGACAGAGGTGAATTATTTAAAGGACAGGAGTGATTTATTACCATGTGAGGCACACTCTTAACCCTGATCAAACAGGATTAAGATTACAATACCCCCTTCCCACTGCCGGTCGAATTTAGCTTGAAGGTAAATTCAAACTGGTCTTCCCTACCCCGTCATGCCAGCTGAGGTTCTGGGTATTACTAGCCCACTGCATTTATTTCCAACACGAGTCTGCTGATTATTTCATTACAGAATGATTTCAAGGAAGAGACACGTCTACTGAATACAGGGAAACCGAGTGCAAGTCCAGTTCCTTAGACTGGCCACATTTATGCGAGCGGCACATGGCAGCTTTCATTAGAGAGGTAAAGGAGTGACAGAGAGAGAGAGAGAGAGAGAGAGAGGAGGGGGTGGTGTAACTACTCTGCCGTGGGCAATAATCAACATAACCAGAGATCAAAAGTTCAAATTACTGCATTGGAGCACATAACCGTAGCACCACTAAGGGCCTGTGATCCCCCTCTGTATCAGAGCACAGCACTTTATAGCAACCATCCACTAGATAACACTGCCATGGCACAGCCTTCTTTTATAGGACCCCTATGCTGAAATTCCAGGACTTTGCTATGAAGGCTGCCATAATAAAACAGACCTTTATAACCACATGACCCCCCTCTCAGAGCTGGGATATGCTGCACGCCATTCGGATTAGCATTTAGCTACAATGTGACATTGTAATAACACCTGGGTAGGACTCAAGTCAGTCCACGGTCAAGGTAAACATTTAGATTTACAAACTGCATTGCCTGCTTAATACGAAGCTAAGTTGGTTAATGCTAATACTCCTGCTCTTGGCTTTGTGGCGTTTCCCCACTGCTGGGCAGTTTGTCTATGGTGCCAAGTCCAAGACTATTAGTACATGTGACATCGGGCAGTCACTTCCTTAATTAGGCTTACCTGGTAAAGCGCACTTTGCAGATGGCGCATTCATAGGGTTTCTCTCCCGTGTGCGTTCGGATATGGCGGGGTAGCTTGCCTGCTCCTTGAATGACCTTGGAGCATATGGGGCACTTCTGGAAGGCCTTAGAGCGCATCTTCCTCTCTCCTCCACCTCCTCCACCCCCGCTGCCTCTCTCTCCAACAACCCGCTCTCCTCCTCTGTCTTGGCCAGTACTGCCCCGTGATAACCAGAGCGGCGGCACACCCTCTGTCACAGCAGCAGAAGCTGTATCCTCATGCTGTGTGCTGTTAAAATAATTCAAGTAAAATTCCATGTCTGGGTCGTCCCCATCTCCTAGGTCATCCCCGGTCGTTGCACGCTCCTTTTGCCTCTCGATGGAGTCCATCATCTGCTGCAGGAGGGCACTGGCTGAGCCCCTCTCCCTCTCCCTCTCCCTCGCTTCCCTACCACTTTCCTCCACTTCGGTCTCCTGCCCCAGCCTCGAGTCAGGTGGGAGGTAGAAGTGCCCATTCTGGGATGGGGGGTAGTAAGACGACCCCAGGCTCGCTCCATTCCCCTGCACTGGCTCCCCGTCCTCATCTTCCTCTTCATCCTCGTCCTCTTCTTCTGGCTCCTGTGTTGGGGCCTGGGCAAATGCGAGGGCCAGGGGGGAGAGGTACTCACCGGGGCCACCAGGAGCCCCGTTGCTGGGGCCATTGCCATGGTTAAAGTGCAGGTGTGTAGGCAGGTCCCTGAGCTCTGGCGTGCTGCAGCTGCTGCTCCAGTGCGCCCCTCTCTGGAAGTACTCCAGGTACTCCCGGGCCCGCACCCGGTTCCCCTGCTCCTTGCCCCCTCTGCCCTTTCCCTCCCTATTTTCATCTTCATCTCGTTGCTCATTGCCCGCCTAGTGAGACACAAGATGGGAAACAAAGAAAGTGAGTGAGAGAAAAATTGAATTGTGTGCAAGGAAAAAGAGACAAAAGTACAATAGCAAAGCACAGTTGTTAAAAAGTAAAACATTAACATGACAGGAAAGACCTAAATTTACAAATGTAACGACTGTCAGCATGAGAAGATCGCAATTTGGGTAAACTGGATGTACACGCAGGGGCTAAGTATGCTTGGGGGCACATGCATTTGCAATTAGAAAATAAAAACTAACTGGTTCAGCAATTTAACCTATTTTTTAAGTGTTAGTGTTGAAGTGTTTTTGTTTTTTAAATTGAAGTAAACTTGTACTAAATATAGCATTAGATAATTGGAAATATGTGGCCACAAACTGCAATGTTACAGGTTGGGATTATGTAAAGCAGTAAGTATTCAGACACAACATACCACAGCTATACTTGATCATGTACAAGTGGAGCTGCTGTATGCTGTGTCTGTAGTCTGTGAAAGCACATGCTGTCCTTCCACACAAGCTATTGGCTCAGAATGAGTAAGTGTTGAACTAACCCCAGGGCTGTGGGCGTGTGGGGCATAGTGAGAGAGACTGATAAAGGCCGTGATGTAAGTTTGACTTTGCTGACTATTGAATGAAAGGATTGTTTGATGACCAGACAACCCATTCTATGAGTGGCTAAAGCAGGGAAAAGGATTTTGAATAGATTATTACAGCTTTATAATAGTAGAGTTGTGCTGTATCTTATATGGTCTGTGTTTTGCTATTCAACACTTGTAGGTTGGGTTGCTTTTCGAGTTACTTTTCCAACTCAAAAAGGCAGAGCAGTTAAATTCTCATTTCAAAATGTAACTTCAAATTCAACACACTTATAGTTCAATAATGATCTTGTACCGGCGGGGAGAGCACTTTGGTGTCCAGCAGGTGAGTACAGACGTCCTGGACAGGTGAAATTTCCAGGAGGCGAGCAGCGGCAAGGATGTCCGCCACACTGCTGTGGCTGACTGTCAATGTGGCTGTGTAGGCAAAGTCCAGCAATGCTCCCAGGGCCTCCGCTGGCACAAATTCGATGTTGTAGATGTTCTGTTGATCGGCAGCGGCACCTGAAGTGAAGAGCTTGTGGAAGTATGAGCTGCAAGAGGCCAGGACGGAGCGGTGAGCAGGAAACTCCTGATCCTGAGTGACCAGGAGCACGTCGCACAGCAGGCCGCTGAGCCGCTGCTTGTTCAGGCTGCCCAGGATGTCGGCGCTGTGCTCGGGGAAAGGGATCCCCACGGGGCCTTCCTCCGCCTCTCCTGCCCCTCCTCGCCCTCCTCCGCCCCCGCCGCTTGCTGTCCCCCTGAGCTGCCTTCCGCCCCTCCCACCGGCTCCTGACGACATCTTCCACCAGCCTGCCGCCGAGCCGCCTAGCACAGCCCCCACCCGTGTATCCGTCCTGCCGTCTGTCCGTCTGCCTGTCTGAGGGGGGAGATAGTTTGGATAGAGGAATTGGATGGAGGAAAAAGAGAAAGAGAGAAAGGAAAACTTTTTAAAATAACATCATGACATTATTTGAGTGGATATGGGTCTTTATCACAGCAGACATTTTGACATGTGACAGTAGGAAAAGTACTGGTGTTCATGATGACATCAACAATGTTCTATTCAATAGTCACAGTTATTAACTTCATTATTTACCCCTGTGCTTTTCCTACTGTCACATGTCAAAAGTTCTGCAGCAGAAAGACAGAGAGTAACATTGATCCATTTATTCCCCATAGTGAGGTATATACACCAAAATTCTTCAGACTCAAGCATACTAGATTATACATTATCTCTTGACACAGATTTGCATGTTAATTTCAAAAATCTGTTGATGAGGGACAAGATCTTCTTGTTTCCATTTTTAGTTTGACCAATCACATTTAAGCAGGCTTCGGTTGTCTGCAGGTCTGTGCAGAGCGCAAAAGAGGTGTAACATATTGACCAAAAAGCATCGGTTATCAGCTTTTTAATATATCTGCATTCATTTGCAGAGAGCGGTGAAAAGAGATTGGCCAAAATGTCATCTGGACCTAAAGCTTGGAGACAGTATGGCTATAGAGTTTGTGTCTCGTGTGGAGAAATGTTTGACTTGTTGGACTGGAAACAGTGTATGGCAAACGGAAAACTTGGCCCGGATACCTGCTACCCCCTGAGGTAACGTCACCAGACGATAACAAATAGGCTCCAAAAATTGGTACACGTTACTAAAAATTTATGAAATTTAAAAAAACGTAAGAATAAGGGGTTAGTTCATAACATACAGGGAGTCTGCAATGTAAACACAAATACACTCTACTACAAAGTTGGGTCGTATAAGGTTACGTAGCGATTAGCATGGGTTTGGCAATTAGCATGTTTATAGACTATGTGACATCTGTCAGTCAGTCTGTTGAAACTAAACAGTAAACAGTATAGACCTCTTACACAGCAGCCATTGTGACATGAAATAGGAAGTAAACACAGGTGTTCCTAATGACATTAAGGGGGTTCTGTTCTATTTAGGTACAGAGCGTTAATGTGCTTACAATGGTGACAATTCAATTACAATTCACATTTGTCTTAAAGTAAACTGTGCACTGACATGTACAGTCTCTGCCATAAACGCAAGCTGATTCCCTCCAAAAAGTCATCTTTATACATTAATATCTTAGCAATGCAAAAACTTCTCTTCTGATTGTTCACACTGTTGACAGCCTCTGTGATTATGTGTTCTTTTATCTAGGCCACCAATATCAACATTCCTCAGTGATGTGTTTTTATCCACACAAAAAAGTAATAATTAATGTTAGGTGGTCCTGATCTGAACTCCACAGTGAATGCTTTACATTTGCTACATATGTTGAATGACAAATAAATCTGTTTTGAAAGCAATAGCTCACATAAGAAGCAAAAATATTAAAGCACCCAAACCGACAATTTAAACATTCCACTCACTTTCACTGGACCCCAAAACACTGAGTGCGTATCCATCTGCTTACAATTCATTTAAAGCAAATCTACTGGCACAACAGGGTGTTTACACATAGAGTACAACATTGTACAACACCACAAGTGTGACAATGTGCAATCATTTAGTTTCTAATGGCACGGAATAAAGAGTGAAATATGGCCAGGCTTGTTGCTGGCTACAACACCATGAGTGTGTGAAAAACTAAGTGAAAGAAGGTTATGTATTTATGTGAGTGTGCAGGTGGCTGGGTGCATGTTTCCTTACATGCCTACTTCTATGGGTGTGTGTGCATGCACCCGTGCAAGGAACCAAGTAGGAGGTCATGGAGGACAGATAGGCAGAGGGTAGTGGGGATCAGAGTGCATGCTGGGAGCTGGGCTGTGCAGCTTGTGCACTCTGTGTTAGTCGAGAGCCAGGGAGGGAAGAGAGAGAGGTGGAGGAAAAGAGGGGAGGGAGCAAGTGAGGGAGGGGGGCTGCCAGAGCAGACCCTGTGGAAAAACTCCACGGGAGGAGGAAGAGGACACGCAACAAGCTGCGAGGGAACAGTATTAAAAAGGGAGGTTGTCAATCCGGTCTGAGCTGGTTACCCCACCCTGTACTGTGTGCCAAGTTTCAGGAAAGGCTGTCCCCTCGCTCACGTGTGGGGGGAGATTAAAATCATTGACTGAAGCCTGCGCAGTCGAAGGGGAGTTTGGCCATCCTCGATTTCTCTATCAACACACTCACACACAGGCAAATACCATGGCATCACAGAGACATCAAGAATGCGTGACATTCACATACACATAACTCAAAACATATAGGACATCGCCGCCTCCAACCCTCCTCCCCCCTTCTCCCCCCTTCTCCATCTGCCAGGAAGGCACAGCAGGGGGGTGAGGTTAAGGGTGGAGATGGGGATGATGGTGGTTGAGGATGTGTTCAGTTTGCTGCTCTGTACATGAGCAGTTCATTCAAATGACATTCCTTCAGACCAGCCCTCCTGGTATGTTTGTGCACTACACCAGACAATCAAACCTGCTCAACCTGGCTGCCTGTCCTCTTCCACACCGGCTCACCTGCGTTCACCTCTCCTTTTTTCTCCACTGTTATTTTATGGTCTCCCTTGTTAAAAGCAACGCCTATCTGTTTCCACACCTTGAGATCTGGTGACATTCGTGTTAGGTAAAGACCTCTGCAGAGAAGCAGGCCAGTGCAAAGAGCCGATGTTTGTTCCAATTTATCATGATCACCTAAATGGGTCAATAATTATTCTTAATTCAGGCAAAGCGTCAAAAAGGCAAAAGGATTATTCAACTCAAAGTTTGAACATTCAAACAAAACAGGTAATATCTAAAACAACATTTTTGTTTAACTAAGGGTAAAAAAATCATGCTCCTTGCTGTACGTCTCCCTTAATTCAATTCTATTTTGATGGGAAGCTGACCACAAAGCCACTGCAAACACTCAGACATGGCAAGAGCAAATTTTATTATCTAACTTCTCATCTGAATATGCTGAGAGAGAGGAGGGCAAAGACAAAGAGGTACGGCACAGGGGGGAGAGAGAGCTGAGTGCATTGGAGATGGCAGAAAGAGTGAGAGAAAGGGCAACCGCACGGCTGTCGGTCACGTCCTTCACAGGTGGAAACAGATCTCTGAGCCCATCCAGACCCGAGCCAGCCTCCTCTTCACTCACAGACACACACACAGCACCTGCACCAGACCGGGCATTGTTGCAAGCTTGTGTATTGCGTTATCCTTGGGACATACACAGCTGACCCTGGGTCACGGCTTTGTGAGGTAAAGACGCTGAGCAGAGAGGAGATAAAACACACACACACACACACGCACACAAACTTGAATCAGTGCCAACGAAGCATGGAGGGACTGCTCTGTATGCAGGAGTCACCTGTCCCCAAATAACCCACAAAGAGCACTAAGAAAGAGGAAACAGTGCAACAAACCTGATCCTGACACCTCCTCATGGCTTGAAAC